GCAATTGTATAGTAATGAAAAATTTATTTTGATGATCGTGACAAAATCAAGTCTATGGGAATCTGGACATGAGGGTGGCTTCATTGCACTCAATTTATTTTGATAATGCTTTAATATAAACTAAAACAAAAATATATAGAGTGATAGAGAATTCCAAGCGTTATCAAAATGGTATAATTACTTTTCTCAATAAGTCGTTTTCGAGTGTAAAAAGAGGTCAAACATAGTGTTAAACTTTTGCTTTCCAGGGGTATATATACTTTTAGTGAAAAACTAATGATAGGGTTATTAGTTGTCTTACACATCCCATCCTTTAATAAGACTTTAATTGAAAATGACATGTACCCGTAGTAATAGATTGTTTGAATATATAATATCAAATGAGAACTTCATATTAATATTAATAATAAACTAAACAAATGCTCTCAAAAAATAATAAAAAAAGAATAATTCGATTCCTATTCACAATACAATGATTCTTTCATTGAATTTTCATATAATACAAAAAAAAAAACCTATGTCGTATTTTGTCAACCAAAATAGAAAAAATTCTTTTATTTAGAAATCTTGTAGAATCGGTATTGTTTTTGATGATATGAAAAATTTCATGTCTTCTTTATTGTTGTTTTAAATTAATTTCATTAATTAAATGATTATTATTTGTTTTCAAATTGAATTTTTTGTCCAACATTTTGGTAAAATAAGTGCATAGATTTCCACACGAAATTGTTGAGACATTAAACAATACATTATAAATGTTATAAATGATGAACTAATTGATGTTATATCCCATATATCACCTAAATGTGCATATAGGAAAAAGAAATTTTTATCAATACCACTAGCAATAAAAAAAAGTCCTTGAGGAAATTCAACAAATGCAGTAAATAATGTTATGAATACAAGCATTCGTGTGATACGTAATTCACGTTTTGAACTTGATGTTGATGATACATATACATAACGATGATGAAGACGTTCACGTAATTGACGTACATGATGAATATTTAATATTAATAATATACTGAATATAATTAAGATAAAAACAGGTAAAATTTTAAAACATAATGCCATTATAACAAAAGACATTTTTTCTAATCGTTCACCTGTTGCTGTACTAACCCAATAAACTATTTCCGTAGAATTTTCAGTATATAAATGAGGCAAATATACATAAGCTGGTCGAGAAACAACACTCCATATTAAATAATTTGGTATCATTAATAAACATACTAAAAGAGCAACGAACCAAACAAGAATTATCACATGAGTTGAATTCACTACTACTTGTTTAGGTTTTGATATTATTGTATATCGAATCTAAACAATATATATATATATATAATCGAAATTATCTTTTATTAAATCATACAGGATGGGCCAAAAATGGTCTTACCGAAGGAAAATTTGGTTATCTCTCCTGTCTTTGGACTAAATGAACAGATAGAGGAGTATTCATGGATCACATTCATAAGAAAAACATTTAAAATAACTACTTTAAAGTACTATCATTGACTCCAATAAAAACTTTACCTTCAAATGAGTTACGAAAAACAGTATTTCAATTTTCTTAAGGCCTCTCTTCTCCTCAAAAAAAGTTACTTTTCGTCAGAATGGTCGAAATTAAGATAAATACATAGGAAGATAGTCTGTAATTTGATCTTTCATAAATGACAAAAAAGTTTTTATCCGGCACCTTGTTTTTTCCAAAAATTTTTGAAGATTTCTATCATTCTCTATCCAAAAAATAAGTTGTTTTCAGTAAAGAACAGAACATTTTTTTTTTGTTTTTTTTTTCTCCATTTCTAGTTTCTTGATCGCACAATCCAAATTTCTCTGCCGATAGTCATTCTACATAGAGTAGTCAAAAAGTAGTAAGAGTAGTACTGTAATTCCTTATAAAAAGTTTAAGAAACTTTCTCTCAATATAGTCTGATAGAGAAAAGAATGCTCTATTCTTCTATGCTATCTGATCATACTTCAACTAATATAATAATAATAAAATTTTGATAAAACTTATTTTTCTATCATATGAATCGAATATACAAATGTCTATTTAGTGGATAGTTTCCGAATAAATTTTGATAGAAACTAGCTAGAGAGTTGTCGTTTTCATCGTTTGAAAGAGGAGATGAAGATGCATCAAAGAATAAATTATAAATTTTTTGATAGAACTGTTTTAACGTTTTCAATAGACCTCTTTGAAAACAGACCTATCTAGTGAGATGTTTACAGTGAATTCTTAATTGTCAATCGTGTATTCAAACCGTCAATGGAAGGTCAACAAAACTACACAAGATTCAGATGTTTAGAATTAATTATTCAAGAGTTATAGGTATTCTAGTCGAAGCTCTAAGTTTATTTTTCTGGCAATTTTTGTAGGAAAACGTTTTTTTTGTTGTTTCTTTTTTTGATAAGAAATCATTTTTTTCACACTTAGAAGATTGATTAAACAATCTTCAGACAAAATACTAAAAAAACGTATAACATACGATTCTATGCATCTTCGTCTTCTCTTTCAAACGATGAAAATCGCAGCTCTTTAGCTAGTTTCTATCAAAAGCTATTCAGAAACTATCCACTAAATAGACATTCGTATATCCGGTTCATATGATAGAAAACTAGGCCTTCTTTTCTATTTTATTATTATAAAATTAGTTGAAGTATGATCAAATAGTATAGAAAAATACAGCATTCTTTTCTCTATTAGACTATATTGAGAGAAAGTTTTCTAAAAATTTTTATAAGGAATTACAGTACCACTCTGACTACTTTTTGACTGTCCTATGTATGTATTTAATTTCTTTTATATTTGAAAGAGCATGTAAAGACACAGTGCAGTACAGAGTCTTTTTTTTAGTTAAGCTTCGTTTTTATTATATATACAAACATTTATATAATTAGAGCACCATTTTTCGAGCTATTGAACCTGTCATGCTTTTCCTTTGCTTAAAAAGTAAGAATTT